GGGGGGGGGGGGCATACACACACAAAATTGTGCATATAATAGCACTCACATAAATTTGCCTTGCCCAAGAATGTTTAACAGCTTATTGTAAAGTGCTTGAAAAAACCCTCAACAGTCTAGCTTCAAAATTATTATGAATATAACTTTCCTCAGAGGCTTGTAATGTCAACAAAAATGGCTTGATGTTTTTGGTATGTCCTAGCTTTCAGGGCTGGCATTGAAAAGAAAACACTTGTTGCATTCGATAATCTTTGCTCATGCCAACTATTTTATCATCTTAATGAATGGTGGTAGATCTTTGCAAATCCTTGCATCCAGTTTTAAAGATTAACAGCACTTCATTTTAACATATTTTGGATTGTTGCAGTAAATGCTCCTTTGGTAGACCTGACAGATGATGATGGAAAGCCACCAAGTTCAAATGTGGCTGATTCTAGAGAGGTGACATTCAACAAACTCTCAGGCAAGACATTTCCATCCCTTGTGGTTGTCGCTCGTCCACATCTTCGTGTCAAAGAAATGGCACAGGGCACTGTAAGCCAGGAAAGAGCGGCCCTTGGTAAGTTCTTTCTGAGTCTGTACATCAGAGTAACTACTCTACTCTCATGTATTCTCCTGTTGTCAGTAGCTTTATAACCATGGTCAGAATTAACAGCTAATGAATCTGCAGTTCCTGTAAGCAATTATTTCCATGGAATGTAATTTTTTATGTGACTTTCAAAATTTACAGCCATTTGGATCCTGAACAGTGAGCTTTGTGTTACAGATGCGAAGGTGAAGAGTGTACTGATGTTTACCCCTACCAAATTTACGGAGTGGCTGATACAGCAGGGCCTTGTGCGCAGTGAGCAGTACTGCACCACCCATTGTATGCCTGACAGCACGACACCCATCAGACTGAAGCTTGGCATGTATTCTGACGTTAGCAAGTTCCCTTACAGCGGGGGCTATGTCTGGATCAGCGAGTGCTGCCCTCAGCGATTTGTATCGGTCAGTATTTTGGCTGTTCCTTGACCAGTAGTGGTGATATGTTTGCGTATTCTCTGAATCAGATCCTTGGCTCAGCTGGTGACATAGAAGTAGTGAAGTTACCACTCATATTGAGTGGACACTTTTAAGCATGACCTTTCTTTCCATCCCTTATGTCAGATGCAGTGAAAACTTTGTGCATATGGGGAATACCAAGCCTTGTCCAAGGACTTGAGCCTGTGTTAAACTGTATTAAATGACTGCTACTGGCTCTCAGTTTATCACACATTGATCACAAGGAAACTGAGTGTACGGTTGTGTGTGAGTTAATCTCAGAATTGACCAGGCTGACATCAGTAAGGTTGAAAAACAATAAGTATAAAGAACTGTTGACTGTGGATTGCTTTTGGTTATCTGATTGAAAGAAGTCAAGTTGTCTTTTTGTAGGTATTCAGTGGATCAATCTATGAGGGAGCACCTCATCCACCAACAGTTCTCCTGAAATTAATCTATCACTGGGCATGCCAAACAAATGTTCAGAATGTGGTGCAGTGGGTGAAAGTAGACAACTTCTATGTGAAGAATTTCTTCACAAACATGCGCAGCATCTGCACAGCAGCCATTCATGAGAAATATGAGAAGATGGGTGGACTCAAGAAAAGAGTTGAGGTGGGTAATGATGCTGTAATTATCTTTCACATTGTCCTCATTGGTTACATCTATTTAGTCAGCATCAGAACAAAATCATGTTAAATACATTTCTCCCATGCTGTTGTGCCTTGTGCATGTTTGTGTACATTTGTAGACTGGAACTAGTCACATCAATATAATTTATGAGTTTTTTGTCTTTGGTACAAGTAATTTGTTCAATAAACAATAAAAATGTAGGTGTGCATCTTTTTTGTGAGTGGTGGTATTTGGCTAATACAGTATACCTGAGACAGTTGAATAGTGTGCAACATGGTTCTGGTATACTGTATAAATCATTGTCACAAACCTTTTGAGAATCATGTATAAAGCTGTGAAGCTGGAACTTCTGTATAGTGGATGCACACATCGCCAGGATATGAATTTGAATGAGTTTACCTTTTCTTTACATGAATGTAGTGTTGAATTGATTCAGGTAGGAGTGATTAGTCTGGGAACCACATCACAGGATGGCAACATGCGCCAAGTGAAAGTTGAGGTCCTGGGTGTCATGGATCCAGAGAATAAACTTATCAGGCTTCGGGCTGTAGAACCCATCCAGGTATGTAAGGTCTTCATATTTGGTTTGGAAGTAAGGAATAGTCTGTATATTTCTCCACCTAATAAAGGGTTGTGTCCAGGGCTGTGATTAAGCACTGCCCATTATATCATATTTAGGCAGGGTAGCCTTCAGCCTGTGATTTAAAATGTAAGGTAGAGATCATATCCTTCTAGAAATGTGGAAATATGTAGTATAAAGTCATAGAACATACAAAATTGTCTGTTGGTATTAAAGTTCTATATAATTTGTTTATTTCTGAAAACCTATGTATAATATGGGATCCCAATTGTACATAATTACTGTTTTATTTATATCATACACAAGTTGTTCTCAGGATTAAAATAAATTTGGTGCACATGCTTATGCTGACAAATGTTCTAGTACCGTGTTTCTCTTTGAAGCAGGAGGGAGATCGCAACTACAAGCGACGATTTGTCAAGATCTTGGAGCCACTGGAACAGTGGGTCAACAAAGATAGCATCATCCTGACAGACTTTACTGTGGACAAGAGCACCTTGCACAATATGGGTTTTAGCTCTGTGTATCAAGTGTCTATCAGTGAAGCACCCACCCCACAGAACAAGTACAGTAATCAAAATGTTATGGAGTACCTGAGGCGTATTGTGCCACGCATGTTTCAGGTGTGTTGTGTTCTGTTGTAACTAATGAGAGACTGTTCAGATCTGATATTTCACTTCTTCTTTTTTTATTGCTGTTCTATCCTAATTCACTTACGTATATGTAGATACGTTCAAATACAGCAACATAATACCATATTCTTTTAAGAAACCAACAAGTTTCAACCTCTGACTGACTTTCATCAGGGTTTGCCTAAAGTACCTCACATGGGATGCTATTTTTTAACACTTATAGTGTTAAAGAGTCATAAGTATTAGTCTAACCATGTGTGTTACCTGTAATCATTGTTTTATATTGTTAATATAACTTTTCAGTTTGAAGGCAATGCCATACAGCAGCAGTTGTCAAAATCAAAAGCATGTTTCTCTGTGTGATGCTCTAGGGTTAGAATTTTAGTTGAACATGGAGTGGCGATAAGATTGACACTGATGGACTGCTTTGTTGTTCACATTTATTGTCAGAAAGTAAAATTATTATAAATAAGGTGTCTTGCTGACTATTGAAAGATGAAAGAAATGTTGTCATTGTTGGTCTTCTGGGCTTCAGTGTTGTGTGAACTAATAGGTAGATGCCATTGTTTCAGAGCAACATGCTGCCTCTGCCTGCACCAAATTCTCATAAGATTTGAGAAATCTTATGAGAATTTTTTTATTGGAAATATGCATGTTGCAGGGCAGATGTGCAAATATTGTCATCTTTTTTAATGTGTGCAATCTTAGGTTTAAAATCATGTTCAAATTCATATGAGTATGTCATGTATTGGGGATAAACTTCTGTTCAGAAATAAGATGTGTGTGGCTTATAGTGTGTATTTTATGTTTAAGAACACACTGTCTCTGCTGAGCAGGCAGATCATACAGCAGTTTCTGGATGAACTGGTATGGAGAGAGAGGTGGGGACCTGTTGCTTCTCAGGCATTTGACAATGTCATTGCTCACATGGCTGAGCAAACCAAACTGGAGACAGGTAAGTCATCTCTCTAACATATGTCATCTACGATGCATGGTGTTGCATTGTAGTACAAGTTTAATTCTCTGATATTTTAGTATGTGGGAGATGTTATTAATGTACTAATATGGTATGCTTAGGGAGTTAAAAAAATTTATGAAGTGCAGAGCATTTTAATATTATATTTTTGAGTTTTATCTTCATATGAGACTGGGTCTTCTTCATGTGTTTGGTCTCACTTTTTGAAACAGTCCATTTGAAGATGACTGTCTTCTGGGACATTGTGCCATGTGGTCTAGTTGACTTCTAAGACTACATGGTACATCGTCCCATAAGACATTTCTCTTACTGCTCACTGCTGTGAGAACCTGCAATATTATCTAGTCTTTCATTTTATGTATTCAAGTTTCTAAGAGAATGCAAAGCTCATATTTTACTTGTTTTGCTGCACATCAAAGAGTAAGATACATTAACAGAATTCAGAATGTGATGGTGCATTTTTATAAGCGGAGTACACAGGCAATGATAACATGACATTTAGTGTATTTAATTCCTTAATTTATTCAATTTCTCTAGGGTTTTTATTTTTAAAATTGGATGATGGAGAAATGTGTGGGAAATATATAGTACGTGCAGCAATCTAATGGTGTACAAGTGAATTGATTGATTAAAAACAGGATTAGCAAATTTACCGATGGTTTACTAAATTATATTGGCTAGAAACAGGCAACTGTTGGATTGCTGGCTTCTTAAGCCAATTGGACAAAAGTAGAAGTAGAACATTTACGTAATGCCAAGCCCATATACTTGGAAATGATGCCAGAAGAAAAGCATTATGTAAGATTTGATTACATTTATGTAGTGTAAGAAATAATCAGTTTATTCTTTCACTGCAATTGTTCTAAGAAAATCATGGCAAAGAGTCTGTATGCCTTTCCAAAGTCTGACCCATGGGAGGGGAACAACATTTGATTAGGGGACAGCCTGTATGGTCGATATGTAGCGGGGACCTATCCCTGGCATGACCATGATGTCTGAGAGGGCCTGACAGGGACTTTGAAAGCATAGCCAAAGGAGTTGCGGTGAAGCTGTTAGGCCTTTCAAGCTAACTGGATGAAATTGAAGAATAATGATATATCATATAAATGAAGTAATTTTCTTTTAGACGATAGTCTGCTGATGCGTCTGTCACGAGTGGCAGCGAACCCATTCAAGCACTGGCAGTACTCAAGCTGGAAGACAGCTCCCACTCCAAAGACACCAGTTGTAACTAATGGCACACCTGCAGTAAGAAGTCATGTTGAGTTTTCATAGCTTGTAGCAACTTTAGCATAATAGTAATAATTTGCAAGCTCTAGTTGGAACTTTTTTACTCTCAAAGGTTATTTCTTATTTAATGCTGGAATGCATTTCCCATTTGATGATGATGCTAACTATATGAACATATGTGCGTATATAAATTTGTATTTCACCATGGTTAGGCAGAAACACATCTTTCAACATTGATATTAAGTCATTCTTGCACTAATGTGATTGGAGGTCCGATTATCGTACAGCAGTGGGAATCCTTGTTGTGCAGAAGTGGGTTTCAGAAGGGTTGTGAAATGCAACAGGTGGAGATGGATGGGCCATTAAGGTTTTCTTCACTTACACTAGAGTATGAAGAATGCCTAAAAATTGGGCTAAAATGACTGAAAATCAATATGTTTAGTCTGTGAGAACAGTAATTATTTTTGGATTGTAAGTAGTGCTATAGCTGTAGTACAGTAGTTTATAGCTCTCAATATGTGAGTTCCAGATAACTGCTTTGTAAGATATTGTAGTGGAAGTACAATTTTTGATTTTGCGTATTCCACTGCATATAGACACCACCAGAACCACTTCCAGGACCTGTCAGCTCAATTGATATGTTGCCGCAAAGCATCCGAATGGTGGATTCCCCTACCCCACAGTCTGGAAGACGTGGTCGAAAACGGATTGTGCCGCAGTCAGATGCTCCAGAACCCAAGAAACCTGCAACATTGTCTCCGTCTGTGCCGCCTGTACCAGAAGAGCAGACAGTGCTGGATTCTTATTACTATGGAACTCTGGAGGGTGATGCACAAATCATAAAGGAGGAGTTCAAAAATTCACTCACCATTAAGGTGAGGAGGCGCAAGAAGGACTGACCAATAGCAGAGGTGCCAACTTTAAAGGATTTGTTATAGTTTATAGGTTGACAACTATACAAGTTTTTAAGTATTTCTGTAGATGAAACAGCCGTAGATTTTAGTTAATAGAAATGTTTGGAAACCATAGATTGTGAATCTTGAATTTTTAACAGTTTTCTAATTAATGATGGGCTGGGTTTGTAGCTATCATGGTGCAGACACATTCAAATAGAATTTTGGTGGTGACATTCTGGAGAAGTATCAACTTTAATAACTGAGTAGGAGATGGATAGGTTTTAGGGAGATAAGTTGTGAATATCAGAGGTATATTAGTGATGAATTTTCTTGTTCTGTTACCAGATTGAGTCATTCAGTTTCTTGATTTGTTTTCAAATTCAAAAATTCACCCTGGTTTCCCAACCATGTTACTAAGTTGGGGATAAAGAGAGAAAATCCCTAAAGTGTATTGTGTTGGATCATTGTTTTCAAGTGTGTTGACTGAAGAATGCTTTCATCCTCATAAATTACACATATTTTGTTGCAGTGCTGTGTCTGTAATCGGAAATACTCAAACAATATCTTGCTGATGAAGCATCTCATTATGCACGTGCAGTCAGATAACCAGTTCTTGACAGAACTCAGTGACCTCACCCAGTGCAAATACTGCCTCAAGTCTTTTCCTACTCCATTTTCTATGCAGACGCACATTGAAGAGGTAAGCATCTTCCCCTTAAAGTGGAAACCATTAATTACTGATACTTGACTTTAGGTTGTGGGTAGGTTAGTTTGTTTAGAAATGTCAGTTTTTGTTTACATTCTGTGGAGCTGAAAGATAACTGAAAAGTTAGATTTCAGTTTCTCATGTCATCGAGTATGAAGATGGTTCTCTTCTGGGTTGTTGCATTATGTAGCCTGATAGAAGTTAACCGATGTTTCAGAGGGACTTTGCTGCATTCATATTTGGAATATCTCTGATTAAATGTAATGAATTCTTCTCAGGCTACCTGTCATGTTAGGTGGTTGGATGGATACTTCTCGAAATGGTGTTTTCTTCATTCAACCACCTGACACTGCTGGTAGCCTGAGAAGAGTTCATTATACTCAGTTGCCATGAAAGTTTCAGATCATACATCTCTGATTAAAATCTCAATCCAGAGACCAACTGTCTTGACTGATGTTTTTTGTGGTGTTCCTTAGTCATTTTAGTCACATTCTGGAACAGTAGTTGAGAGTTGTTTAGTGTTGATATATCCATAGCCCATATTGTTCTAGATCCATCTGAAGATGACAACAAGCTTAGTGTGCCGTATCTGCGAGGAAAAGTTCCGGGACAGGCCAATGCTTATCGCACACATGCACCGCACACATATTGAAGTTGAATTACCTTATGAATGTGGGATCTGCAAGTTCCGCTCATCAATGCACCGAGATGTTATTGACCATTTTTATGAGGTTCACAGTGGGGGTGAAAAGCTACAGTGCCCATTCTGTCTGAAGACAGTAGCATTTGCTAACTGTGGAAAGAAAATGTCTGCAAATGTCAATTTCTTCCTGAACCACATTCAGGTTGGTAAATATGACTAAATATGAAAATAGTGTGCATACCATGCATTTGGAAGTCTAGCCACTCTACATTGTTGTGTAGTATTCACTAAAATTGTTTAAAGTTTGTGGGGGTAAATTTCAAATATCAAGCGTAGTAAGATCATACACAAAAAATTAGCTGATCCAAACTTCACTCTTTGTTGTTTGAGTTTATATAGAGGTTGGGTGTAAGTGGGTACATTTTTTATTCTTCACTTTATTTTATATTCTTGCGAACCTGTTCTGACTTCACATATTCATTCCATCCTTTCCAAGGTCTTTCTCAGTCTTGACATCCTTTTGGTTTGTACTGCAGTATCTGTTTGCTTCTTCTTTATCTGTTTTCTATCCAAATGGTATATCTAACTTTATGAGGATTTATTTTATTATGTACTTATGTGTGCATTTTTTTTTCTGGTGTAGCTTGTGTAAATATTATTGTATTATCCAAATACCATGAACCCCAGAATAAGGTCGTACCCCATTTGTTTATAATAAGAAAGAAAAATGATTTGCATGAAACCGATTCCAAAGGAAAAATTCTCATTAACAAACAGAAACTTGTTAAAGGTACATGTGCTCACAATTTTTATGTAGGTTTATATGAATTAGTGCTGAAATTGTGGTGTTTGTTACAGAAACATCAGCGTAAGTCAATTGCTCGCAAGTGCAATAAGTGTGCTATGTGGTTTGTTCACAAGGGCATCCTCAAAGAACACCACATTAAGGACCACAGTAGCTTCAAGGGTGTTCCAGGTACATTTTTTGATAACTTTGTGCTAGGCATGTAAGTTTTTGTTTATACAATAACTCGTGTAGAACTGTTATCTGTTGTGTTGGCATTGAAACTTGGGTCTCTTCCCCTAAGGAAGGACATGGATAGAGATTGTTTTTGAACAGAGTTCTGAGGGGAGTATTAGGACCTTTGGAGGGGAAGTTCGAGACAATGGAGATAATTGTGTACTATGGAGTTTCATAATTTGTGCTCTTCATCAAATAATGAGTGGTCAAAGGAAGAAAAGATGAGTGAGGCATTTAGCATGCATGGGAGAAATGATAAATGCATATAATATTAAAAAGGAAGAGACCACTTGGTAAACCTGAGCATAAGTGGGTGAATAATATAAAAATGGATTAAGGAAATAGGGTGTGATATTATGGACTGGATGCAACTAGCTGAGGATATAAGTTTGTTAAAACCATCAGTTTAACATCAAGAAAGAATGCTCCTTGATGTTATTTGCTTTGTGTCCCTTCTTTATAATTTTTTGTGGTAATGGCTTTGCCTGTGATGTCTTGTTTGACAGGATATTTTTTGTAGAATGTGAATGCATAATATGCTGATTGATTGTTTTAACCTTTTTGTGTGTCCCATTGTTATAACCCATTTTGTATGCTGTTTTCACGCAGCATTTCCAAGCATGAACGTTTTTGTGTATGTCGAGGTGGTTTGAATAGAGTAGCCATAGAAATATGCATATACTTGGCCCTACTGCAGTTGCACATGTTTGTATTTGTTGTAATATTTGGCAGCAAAATGAGGACAGATATGACCACATTTTGTATGTCACAGGAGTGAAACCATATATGAACCCAACGGGAGTGGATGTAATGATGCCTTTGCCACCAACATCCTTGTTTTCCCGATGTCCACTCACCCAGAAGCAGCAGCCGTATGGAATCAAATCATCTACAAGTTTTGCAAACAAGATATTTGAGCCACCTCTGGAAATATATGGTGTGCAGACAGGCTCTACTTGTTGCGAGTGTGAGGGAGATTTCCTCGGAGAAGATCACTTCCCGTGAGTATCTTGCCTAAGCAATTCCTTATGCAGATAATGTCATTGGGGTTATTAGTCTTACTAGACTGTTCTGGCTCCAAGTTTTAACTCAGAAATGGTCCCTCCATCTTTTATATTATTTACCTCCTCTTCTGCAGAAGTAAAGCCGGCGGTCCCATGTCGTAGATTTACGGCATGTAAAAGACTGTTACAAGCATAATACGAGATGTTTCGCAAGCAAAATTCAGCGACCATTTCTCACCCAATTCTCCTGATTAACTGTTAGATGGCTCTGGCAGTCAAATCAGGATTCAGTGGAAATTGTACAGAGTTAGTGGACTTTTCGCTCACTACTCATAAATGCACACTTCAAGACAAAGAAACCTCCGACAAAGGAGGTGGTGAAAACCCACAAACAGGGTTGTAGAGCCAAGAAACAACAACAACCTCCTCTTCTGCAACTCTCTTAGGATATTTGCTTTCATTCCTTCTTTCCATGTGGTGGAACCAATGCATTTTACATTAGACTATTTCGCTTAGGTTGTTAAATATGTTTCATTCTTTTCTGATTTCTTGGTTTTTGGTATGGTGATTCTTTTATAATCTGCAACAGTCTTAGGAACTTCATTTCAATTGCTTGTTGTTCTGGTAGGTTCCAACTTTGTAATCCATATATTGACATGGTTTTGTCATTACATCATATACTTTTAAGAGTCTCTTTCCTTGTTCTACTATGTAGTATTTTCTTTCAATTGTGCTGCACATATATTGAGAATTTCTTAGTGTCATATTAAAATGGTTAAGATGCATATCATATTTCAGTTACGCAAATAATGTATGTGTTTAAAAACTTTGTTTTGGAAAACCTCGATCTATCTATGATAAGAATGTTACCCCCCTGGAAGGGCCAAATTGGCACTGTTATTGATGTTGCAGATGTTAGTAGAAGACTTAGTAAAGAATAACAGATTCGTTATTGGTAATTTTTACCAGTTATTTATTCCAAGAAAGAATAACATCTATGAAGCTTGCTTTTATATATTAATTGCAAGGCTGCCTTGAGACCCTAACAAACTACACTCTTTGTTTCAAAGTTGATTTTATGGCCGCTGTTAATAGCAGGGAAGGATCAGCTGAATCTTAAAATTTTAGCTCAGACAACTTAATAATTCTGAGTTCTCAGATACAGAAATGCATGGCTTGAAAGTCTTGGAAGAAATGGTATATTTGAAAACCTTTACAAATAAAAAAAATAGTTAAAATATGATTCATATGAGATTTTTGCTACTTGTAGTAGAATTCAAGGGTGGGAACATTTTGTTGCCTTCATCACTCTTTTACCAACTCCTTAAGTCTTGCATTTTTTTGTGAATAATCTTCTGAACAAATGTGAATTTTGATACTTAACTAAAAATAAACAGCATTTACTTGGTATAAGATAATACAAATTTAAATAATAATATTTTTCTCTTGTCACCAATCTGCTGCAACTAAGTTCAGTGACTGTACCTTTGAGATGGTAACATGTGCACATTGCTCTGATTTTTTATGTGATTGTGTGGCAGTGCTGTGCAGTAACAGTGCATTTTCTTTTTCTAATAAAATTGTTTTTTGATAGCAAGTCATATGTGATGTAGCTTAACCTCTAATAGTTACATAAAATCAATGAAGTACCACTTTGTATTTCCACCATAGATTAATTATGAAATAATTTTAAACAATTTTACAGCTTTAAGCTACAGTTCAAGGTCACTGCTGAAGTTAAAGCTCAGAAGTCACAGGCTTTGCAAGGCTTGGTCTTGAACTTGGCTCTGACTTGCGATATTGTGCTCAGATGCTTCATTATTGAACTTGCTGTTTATTTATTTTTGTTGTTTCTTTTTGTCCTTTCTACCCTGGATTATTGGAAACTTTGCAAGTTCAAGCTTGGAGATTCGTTTACAGCGGTAAATATTCAGCTTTCTGGTGCATGTAAATGATAGAATGAGCTGTAGTTGTCAAGCAGATAAAATGATTGATGTTTATTGTTCCACAGAGGCTACCTGACATGCTCAAGATGTCGCTTTGCAACATGCTGCGGTAAGGCCATGATGGAGCACATTGTTGTGTTCCATGAATCGGGCAAAAGTACACCTGAATTTACACTAGGGAGAATGGTGCAGCTTCCAGGAGACATGTTTTGTGTGTGTGGGTTTCAGAGTTCTAGTGGCAATAGACTGGGTGAGTTTTGCTGCAGTAATATTTTCAGAGAATAGGACATACAGCTACTTGAGGACCAAAAATTTTTTTTTTCCCCTCCTCCATTTTACTTTTACAATGATTGAACTGTAGTTGATAATTTATGATATAGTTAGGATATGATTTAAAGGAGCATTGAATTGCCACATTGGAAATTGTAAGAATTCATATGTTCTGCATATTTGTATGTAAGGATAGATTATGCTACATAATGTGTTGTCATGTTGTGGAAGGGGGAGACACTTCAGATCCAGTTTTAATCCAAATACTGCATGCCACCAGGTAAGATGCGTGCCCCAATTTCTGTAGCACCTTTAAGAAGATTGTTTTAATAATGCTAATACTAGAGACCAGAAAGTTATATGTTATTGTAGCTAGGCCACACTACAAAATCACACAAGCATGGAAGTGACTGTTCATTGATAACAAAAGCAATATACATTTTGGTATTTGCTATGTAGTTACATGTACACTGCTCTAAAACTGTGTTTCCAACTGAGGAATGTTATTTTGTACTGTTGTATTGAGTAATGTGTGTCATACCAACTTTCCTGTCTTTTAAGACACCAAGATAAATGATGTGAATAGAATGAATAGTTCAGCTTTGAATGTGAATTTTCTTTGAAAGGCACAGAGGATGTGTTAAAGGTATCTTAGTGGACCACTAGTTATAAATTGCTTCAGATGCAAAATGGCAGGTACAGCTGATATAAGTAACTAACTGGATGGCTTACAAAACCTGAAGGTTCATCACCAAACTCACCAATGCCCTCCGCCGGACCCTGTCCTGGGCCAACAAAATCCAGTCTCTTTCAACTCCTATCTCCCATAGATCCCACAAGAAAGGTCAAGCCATTTCTCATAAGTGAAAGACACTTGGAAGATTCATATTTCTGACATACACTTTCATACCATACAGAGGTTATCTTTTGTGTTACAAATAATGCATTAGATGTGCTAGTAAATATTAGACCTTTACTGTACATTGTATGATGGATAGGTTGGTCTGAGAAAACCCGTCTAGCTGATAGGTGAGTTAGAGAAGTTTGAGTACCTGTTTCCTGAAAGAGGTGGATATTATCTTAACTGTAATGTAATGGGTGTACATAGTCCACTAAGCATCATTTTAATGGGCATATTACCTGTTCTTGAAAGGGGTATGTGTAAGGCCAAAGAGATTAAGAATGCAATACTTTTCATTGTGGCTACAATTCACTCAAGATAGTTGTGAATCTTGCGTTAGGCTTCTTGCGTGATGTGACATGTTTGAGGTCATTATCAACCCTACCTAATTCTCTTGGATTTTCCTTTTAGTATATTGAGTTTAAAAAATATTTTCTAGTCTATGTCACATTTCTTATAAAAATGTTTGTTTAATAAATGACTGAATTTCCATGCCATATATATTGTGATCAGTTTGATGAAATAAAAGCTTTTCATTATGTCCTATGTCAGCTGGGTGTGCATTAAAAAGTTACTTAATTACGTATGTATGTGTTTGAAAGATTGTGTTGTGTAGAATGCAAAATGAATTCCTGGCCTGATATGATGCTGGAAAAACATTTATACTGTAAAATATTATTGCAGCAAACCATTTGGCAAAGTGCGAGCGTAAGAGTGCTTACCCATCTCCAGCCAGAGCAAAGTCTGCCACCATCCAATCAGCTTCTTTTCCACCACTGGTCACGTTAGATGATGCTGACAATGCCAGTGAAGATCCCAGTGATCGCTGGCTTAAGGCTTTTGTCCCAAGTCGCAAGGAGGAGCCTGGAGAAGGCAGTAGGGATGCGCCAGACAAGAAGCAGGCCCCTCAGCCAGGTGAGTGGAAGGAGTTTATTACATAAGCAAACGTGATTATGTAAAATACCACATGATGTGTATACCTCACTGCTTATTGCAGAGGGTGGAGATCCCCCAAGTATGCTAAACATCCTGGGTCTGGTGCGCAAACCTTCGACAGATGAGTCGAGTCTTGATCGTGCCCTGTCCGATAGTGAGGGTCTGCCCGATGGCAAAACAGATCGACCGCAGCATGCGGCAAGCTCAGAACAGGAACCACCAAAGCAAGAAAACGACATGATCCCCTTATCGGGGGCAACAAGTGAGTGTAGACTGAAGAAACGAATACTAACTCTAAGCTTTGAATCTTAGTTCATAAGAATTCCTCACTCTTCATGCCCAGATATGTACAAAAGATAAAGTTTTTCTTTTTAATTCTACAATTTTATCAGAAACATTTTAGCCTACTTTCCTTGTTTTGTAAGGAAATTTAATTCTTACACTGGTTGACTAATTTTCATTAAACTTTGTGCTGTTATAGGCTACCCACCTTTTTACTCTTTTAATCCTCTGCTATCAAATAATATTAACATTGCCACCATGCAGCCTTGGGTGAGAGTAACACTTCCATTCATTATTAAGGGTGTGGTCATGTTACCAAATGTGACAGTGTGAAATTGCAAAAATTGGATTCTGTATGTACTAGTGGAAATTATATGCAGAAACTGATAAATTACATAATTATTCATGTATGTCCAGTTCCTGTTTCTCTGCTGAAGAGGATGATAAAGACATATTTCTGGAATATTACTTGGGAATTAACTCAGTTTTTTCATCTTCTGCTAATTCTACATCATTTTGTCTTGGAGATAAACGAAAGAATGATTTTGCCTTCTTGGCATTATACTGAAACAGAATATCACAACCAAGAAATATCTTCTTAAGGAGGAAATAATTTATAATGCCCATTACATGGTAGCTAACCTCATCAGTCTTAAACCTTTTTCTTCAGAAATGTCCACAGTTGGAAAGCATTACAAATTCTTGCATTCTGTTCTCTTTGACTAGGATTAATTTGCAGACAGTTTTAGCTTCTATATTTTATTTTACTGTGTAATTGCATGTGAATTAGTTTTCATATTGAAATTTGCCATTAAAAACTTTTCTTGTTGGTTGACTGCTATACAGGTTATGTAGCACTGTTACAATGAAAGTGAATTATTAGTTGGAAAGGATGTGGTAGGAAATGATTGTGGCTTATTATAAGGTACTATGCCAGCATTTTCCTGGAGACGCAAACAAACCCTCCATGGTTTAAATTTGGGACCTGTGTTTTGTGTCATAAGTGTAGGGCAATGGGACACTATTTGTGTCTGTTCCTCAGACATTTTCTACTATTTTGTAGTAACTGTTCACTTTCTGTCTAGGTGAAGATGAAGGTAAGAAAATTGCAGAAGCAAATGAGGAGAAGATGGAAGTGGATGAGACAGAAACTAATAGTGATCAGCCAGTAGCTCCCACAAGCACAGATGACAGTGAACCTGTAGAGATGTTACCCAATGTCAGTGTTCCTACAAGAGATGCACTACCAGACAATAGTGAAGCGACAGAAATGTTACCTGATGAAAGTGTACCCACAGAAGAGACATTGCCAGATGACAGTGAAGCTACAGAGGAGATGTTACGTGATGACAGTGTGCTTGCAGAAGAGACTTCGTCAGATGACAATGCTCCTGCAGAAGACATTTCACCAGATAACCATGCTACTGCAGAGGATACATTACCAGATGACAGGACATCTCCAGTAGAGGTAGAAGAGAACAGTCAGGCATCTGAGGCAGAAGACAATAGACCAACCTCACATCAACCAACTGCTACAGCAGACAGCAGATTGTCTCCTCCCCTGGAAGCAGAGGTCAGGATTCCATCTCCTGTGACAGATAGTGAGAGTAAATGTTCACACCCTCCAGGTGACATTGAAGAAAGTGTGGTTTTGCCATTGTGCATTGAAAATGAATCATCTACAGAAATCAAAGGCTCTGGTGAACTCTGTCAGGAGGGTGAGCAGGCAGGTGATACAGAAATCAGATTACCATCAACCATCGAAACTGAAGCAGTGTGTGCTGAAAACAGATCTCCTATCTCCCCAGTTGATAACGAAGTGCCCTCATTGACAGAGGACAAGGTTGCAGATACTCCTGTAGAAAGTACAGATATGTCAGTAGTAGAAAATTTAGTTCCATTATTGCAGAAGGATGGGCCATTGTCTGAAGAACGTAAAGGCGAGGCTGAAGAAATACCGACTAATGCTACTGAATGAAGAGTTTAAATTGCAGTTCCTTAACTTCTGTTGCCATTTTCTTTTGGAAATATCTAAATCATAGTGGGTGGCCAAGAACTGCAACTGGACTTGCGCCGCCTGATGCTGCCACCGTGTTGCAGGAATCTTTACCTAGTTTTAAGTGTTCATATTACCATGATAAGTTTAGTGTAATGGCATGTTGGTATCAAGATTTACAGTGTGTTGATACATATGTG